ACTTATTATGATGGAACTAATTTTTCTACAATTGATGTAATATTTAGGACGTCAAATACTGCATTTAGAATTGCTGATAGCTCAAGTACACCTTCAGTTTTATTATCTATTGATAAGACATTTGGAGCTACCATTAATACTGAAAATTTTACAAATAATGCTTTATCAACATTCAATGAAAATGTAACAATTTTAGGAACAAAAAAATTGTTATGTAACACACTTGAACCATCAACAGGAACTAATATAGATTTAACAGCAACAACAGTAACCATCAACGGAACGTTTGTGGACTCATCTGATTCGCGGTTGAAATATGACATAGACAATGTCAAATCTAATTGTATGAACATTATTAAGAAATTTAAGCCGAAGAAGTTTAAAAGACACGATAGAAACGATAACGGTAAAACTCATATAGGATATATAGCAGATGAAGTATTAAAAGCAATTCCTACAGAATTTGAAAATGTTGTTAGCAAAGACAGAGAGTATTTAGGATTAAATTATTTAGTTTTACCCGTGTTAGTTCATAAAGCAGTATTAGAATTAAATGATAAAGTAGATAAACTTGAAAAAGAAATTAAGGAATTGAAAAAAGAAAAATCTAAATAATTTAATTATAAATATATATAATATATAAATAAATAAATAAATAAATAAATAAATAATTAATATATCTAGATATATATATGGACATTGACAGAAAAGTTAAAATAGAAGTATTATTTAACAATGATAGTATGAGAGAAAAAACTTGTTATTGCGGTTGTAAAATTACTAAGTTAAATAAAGATGAATTTACATTAAATAAATGTAATAATGAAGAATGTAATTTTAGTCATTCTAAATTTGATGAATATATTAAAGAATTAAAAAGACAAAGAAGAGAAGAGGAATTCGACAGACGAGCAAGGAAGTGTGATAGGTTATGTACTCCTTTTATGTGGGGGTTTTGTTGGCCTATTCTAATTCCTTTGAATATTTATTATTGTATTGTATACCTTTGAATATTTTATTATTGTATTATATTATAATCTAAAATAATAATATATAATGGGTATTGGTCAAAGTAAAAACGATGAAAATAACAGTATGGAAGACATTAAGAATTTAAGAGTAGATGAAAAAACAAGAGCGGATACTTTAATCATTAAATCTATTCAAGAATGTGTGGCAAGAATAGAAAGATTAGAAAGTCAAAAATCGGACAAACTAATATATAAATTACCAAACTTGCAACTTTGCAACGCTTCATTAATTTAAATTAATAACATTAAACAATAAATTTAATGTTATTGATTAGTTATTTTCAAATATTGTGAAAACTTTTTCATAAGCATTTTATCAGGGTTCTTTTCTAAAAGGTTAATATACAAAAAGCTATGAGGTTCATCAGTTGCAGTCTCATATATTTTATAAATTAATTTCTTGCTTTCGTGTAAATTATCACTTCTAACAATTGCTGATAATTCATCTTGTAATATTTCTATCTCTTTGAAGTTTCTAACTTTATAATAAAACAAATGACTTATATTTACTCTAATAATTGGCGGCACTGTTGATGATTTCTGAAGACTGACAAGCGTTGATATTCCACTATGTCGACCTCTACAGAATAAAGAATTTAGCAATTTGTTATTTCTTGTTATTGCTGGATTATCAGATACATCATCCAAAATTATCAAAATATTAAATAACTTCTTCATTCCTTGTTTTTTCTGGTATTCAATTATTTTATTTTGAGTTTCTATAACTCTTTCTAAATCTTCAACATTGAACTCATCCCACCAACACGGTTCTTTATCAGTATCTACTTTCAAACCTTCTTTAATGTATTTTTTAACAGGCAACCAAATACTATCCAAATTTACTGATGGGGACCAGATAAAAATTCTTTCAAATGCTCCTCTATAAATATCAAGTATCATTGATACAAGTAGCGTCGATTTGCCAGAGCCTGACGGGCCCACAATCATAGCTCTCATCGGCAATTTAGGGACGACCTCGTGCTTGCTTTGCTTAAAGTCATATTTGATTTCGTCAATTGGTTTTACATCAGGCATAATAAAAATAATATTAAAGATATTTAGAAAATAAATTATATTTATTATTGAATGGAACATCTTTTTTATGATATGCTGGTAGTGAATATCATAAAAACGGAACAGGTTTCCATTGCTTCAATCAGTAAGCATTGAAGCTAATTAGTTTGAATTAGTTTGAATTAGTTTGAACCTCGCTTGCGTTGTCCAGTGCAATGAAAACTCCAAGTGCTGTGCCCCCATCAATATTCTATTATGCATGAAATAATAACATTAAATAATTATTTCATCTTATTATTTATATGAATAGGAGTTATTCAGATTATATTGATATAATAGATAAAGTAAAAAATATAGAACAAGTTGTTATAACTGATAATAAATTTAAGAAAGTATGCTATTTTGTTTTAGAATTAATTAAGTTTGTGATACAATATATTAAAAATATAAATATTAATATAGATGGGAAGAAAGAAAATCAAAAAGAATAAGACAGACCCAGCTGTATCTTCAATAGATGAAGAAATTGTTAAAGAAGCATCAGTTATTGAGTTTGCTTGTCCTATGTGTAAAAAGATGTTAGAAATGAAAAATGAATTAGAAATACAAAAGAAAGGAAACTGTAAATGTTCATGTATTCCAACAAGTTTCAAATTGAGTAAACAAGATAAAAGGATGAATATTGATAAAACTAAAGACAGTATCAACTTAGAAACTGATGCTCATAACATTACATTTAAATGGGGTAAGGATGCAACACTCTCGGAAAATGGTGATAACGAAACACAAGAAACTATTAAACAAATGATGAAAAATTAGCATTTAAGGAGTAGATTTAACACCACTTCAAACGCATAAATAAATATATAAATATTTATATAATCATAATGCCAACTATGAATGGAGAAGACCATAGAATTATAACTTTCGACAATGAAGAAATTAACGACATATTCAATGGTGATGTAAACTTTGCTACACAATTGAGCGAAGAATACTTTTATTGGTTTGATGCTAAATTCAGTGATAAATATTTTATGAAAGGTATAACTAAACCGGAAAAATTTGATAAAATATTAAAGTTTTTTGAAATTACAGGTGACGAGGAAGGTTTAATACAAATGAAAAATAAAATTGATGAAAGACTTTTAGAATATAATTTCTTTACATACATAAAAATATATTATTCAGGTAAATTGTATAATAAAACGCATAAATAAATAAATAAATAAATATATAAATATTTATATATAGAAATGTCAGAAAATTGGGATTCTACAATTAACGATTTAATGAAAAAGATTATAATTATTAGTAAGAATATTAAAACATTAACTGAACTTATTAAGAATATCGATGAAAAAATAAACCAACCTAAAAGCAATAACGAAGACGATAATGAGAAGATGGATAAAATCTTTCAAAAGAAAGGATTAGGGCGTCCCTCAGGCGACCATGAAACTAAAAGACAATCTTATTTTGAGATGGTGTCCAACGGGCGCATTAAGAACCCACAAGAACAAACTTTAGAATACTATAAAATCGCGAAAGATGGTGATGAATATAAGCTTATGGATTAATATAATAAATATCTAAATCATTCTAATAAATGAATTTATTAGAGATGTTTAGTGGAACAGGCAGTGTTGGACTTATTGCAAAGTCGCTCGGTTTTAATGTAATATCGTTGGATTTGAAAAATGCTGATATTAATTGTGATATACTTGAATGGGATTATAAGCAGTTTGACAGAAATCATTTTCAATTTATTTGGGCATCACCACCTTGCACAGAATACAGTATTGCAAAAACAACAGGAATAAGAAACATTGAATATGCTAATAGTATTGTATTAAAAACAATAGAGATTATTGAATATTTCAATCCAACATATTATGTAATTGAAAATCCACAAACTGGATTATTAAAAAATCAGGAGTTTATGAATGAGTTTGATTTTAAAGATGTTGATTATTGCAAATATGGATTTAATTATAGGAAACGAACTAGACTTTGGAATAACATTACGAATTGGAACCCTAGAGATTTATGTAATAGAGATTGTGGAAAAATCAGGAATAATAAACATATTGAAACTGCACAACGGATGCCATCCGGTCGAAAGGAAAATTGGGGCGATAATTATGTAAAACATAAGCAAGAAGATTTATACAAAATACCTGCTGATTTGATTTGTGAAATTTTGGTGAGTTTGGTGGATTAAGGAAAACGAGTTTGGGTTTTACCTCATATGGATGAAATGATTTGTAACAGAGGACCTGTCCCTGTTTATTGGTCATAAGGGATTCTGTTTTTGGTACAACGTGAATAGTCAGAAATTGGACATATTGAAGGTCAGTATTTGGGACATCAGGGGATGTCGTGATTTGTATCAACAAGATTATGGAAAACGTCTATTGTAGGTTGATGTTTGGTTTATTTGTTTGGTTTTGTTGTTTGGAGGGTTATTATCGGCAACATCTTTTGCTTGGGATTGGTCGGGATGCTCACGGACCTTTTGTATAGTAGGGATAGACTATTATGAAGACTCCCAGTAAGGGGGAGTCATAAGGCATGTTTATTCTTAGTTAAATTCACTGGAAAACAACCATGGTTTGTGATAAGTGCCGTGAAAAGAACAGGAGGAAGCACCAAGTAGTGTATCATTGTGATGTGTGCGATTGTGATATAAAAAGGTCGCATAAACCAAGGCACGAAAAAACTTACAGGCATAAGGGAAATCTGGAAAAGAACGAGGTTAAGGAAAATTGAGTTGGTTTAAGTTATGCTTTTATGAATAACTTAAAACAATTGGTGGGTGGATTGATTTTTACGGGATTTATGCCATTTTTTAATGTTAGATTTTGCGGGGCGCTTTTGAAATGGCGTGAAAACCATAGGGTGGGTAGCAAATGATGAGGTTGTAGGTAAGCTCTTGCTTGCTTCCTGGATTTCGTGGAGACGCTCAAGACAAACCGCAGCAAGGCCTTCATGAGCGTGCCCACCCAAGTTGGCGCCCGCACGCTGCAGCTCTCCAAGCTCATGATGGAGAAGGCCTACTACCTCCACATGAGGAGGCTCTTCCCGAAGATGAGGCTGCTCTTCACGGACACCGACTCCGTGATGGTGCTGATCTTCGAGCTGCAGGACCCGCTCCACGCCATGGCCGAGGCGAACCTGAACGGCGCCGCCCTCTTCGACGTGGCCGGCAAGTCCAAGGACCCCGAGACGGACCTGAGCGCGCTCTCTGCAGCGGCGCGCGCCAAGGCCATCGAGGTGATGGGGCAGCTGGGCAAGCTCGGCGACGAGACCTTCCCCGCCAGGATCCTGGAGTACGTCGGCCTGCGCTCCAAGATGTACAGCATCCTCACTGCCCAGCCCGACGGCGCGCGCAAGGAGAAGCGCAAGATCAAGGGCGTGCCCAAGAAGGCGGTGACCAACGTCCGGCATCTCGAGTACAGGGAGGTGCTGGAGGAAGGCAACGAGCGCAGGGCGACCTTCGCGCAGCTGCGCAGCCGCGCGCACGAGATCGCCGTGGAGACCGTCGAGAAGAAGTCCCTCTCGCCCTTCAACGACAAGGTCTAATTACGGCCTCGACGCTCACAACTCGCGCCCGCTGGGACACTGGCGCAACCTGGAGCAGCTGCGGATGCTGGGCGCTTACGCTCCGCCCGGCTCCGCGCCCTTCGACCTCGTGGGGCCCCCGCCTCTGGGGCCCGCTCCGACACTGCCGCTGAGCCGACGCTGGGCGTAGACAGTCGGAACCGAAAAAAAAAGATCCTGAGCTCTTGTTTTCTCGCTTTCTGGAAGTAGTAAGGAAAGGGGGCGTATACTACCCTAATTATTTGGGTTTGTTGGTCCAAAAACCCTGCAAAACTGCATAATTTTCAACCAGCTGAACTCGTCACCAGCGATGTCACCGCTTCGTCACCGCTCCGTTTTTTGGTGCAAAAAGCGCTCAAAACGGCCAACTCCGAAAAGTTCGTTTTTTCGTGTCAGACGTCAAACGTGGTGCCTGAGCCTCCAAATTCGCTCGTTTTATCGGGCTCCAGACGCTCGCTGTGCTCTGGATTCACTGGGTGCTGAGAACACGCTCTTCCGGCCTCAGCAGGGCGTCCGGTCCGCCAACAACATGAACGACGCCACTCAGCCCCAGCACTTCACGCTGCGCTCCCGCCGAGCTACGACCAGCTTGCCCAAGACATCAAGGCGGCGTAAAAAAACTATTCTCGGTAGTCACAACCGGAGCACAGGATGAGTTGATGCAGAGCCTGGACAAGCTAACAACCAGCAACACCAACTACGTGACCGCACGCCACGACGTGCATTTTCTCCAGCTCGCTGAGCTCCTTCTCTCCCACCACCTCGAGAGTCTGCCACATTCCGCTAACCAGCGCAATCAAGATCGGCTTCAGAGTCAGAAACACGGGCTGCTACTCAAACAGACTTGTGACAGGCATCTGAGCTTGTGAAGCATCAGACTGGCTTGTGGACGCATCAGACTGGCTTGTTCAAGCATCAGACTGGCTTGTTCAAGCATCAGACTGGCTTGTTCAAGCATCAGAACTGGCTTGCGTCCAGCACCGCACCGCGCCTGCTGAGGAGATGATGATGATGAGGATGGTGATGATGATGATGATGATGGTGAGGAAGATGATGGTGATGATGCTGATGATGGTGATGATGGTGATGATGATGACAGTGATGCTGGTGGTTATGACGATGATGATGATGATGATGATGATTGTGATGATGGCGATGACACTGTTGGTCATGATGATGATGATGATGGTGAGGAAGATGATGGTGAGGAAGATGATGGTGATGATGGTGATAATGAGGAGATGATGGTGATGATGATGATGAGGATGGTGATGATGATGGTGATGAGGAGGATGATGATGACGACAAAGATGGTGATGATGATGATGGTGATGATGACGATGATGATGGTCGGGCAACGACCAAAAAATGGTCCGCGCCTGTTTCCAGTTCCGAGGCCAAAAACCCTACCCCGTGACGGTCATACGGGCTGGCACTGCGCCACCCGGCCGCGCCACCTGCCCGGCATAGAAGCCTCCCGGCCGCGCCACCTGCCCGGCATCGGAGCCCTTCCGAGCCCGCGCCAAGGTCGGAATTCTTCCCAGGGAAAATGTTTTCCAGTTGTCCTGTGGGGGGACAACTGTAGCACGTTTTTTATTTGACCGGTGAAACCGAGGCGAAATTTTAGGTTGTCGGAATTTTCGACAACCTCCCGAAAATTTCGAGCGTCTTGCGCAGGTCTCGCGATTGACCGGCGCCACCGGTCAAATCAATTGAGTCACATTGTAGCCACGGTGCTTCCGAAAAAAACCCCTGGTGCGGGCCTGGTGCGGGCCTGGTGCGGGCCTGGCGCGGGCTTGCTTTCAGGTCACCCACGGGCTGTGTCACGATTTGGCCCTGGCTCTGACGCCCTACGCGCAAGTAACGGACCTGGCGGTGAACACGGCAGCCTCCGGCAACAACGCAGCGGCCATCCAGTCCCTGGACCGTGTCACCGCAGAGCTGCAATTGCGCCCCTGGCCACGGCGGCGGCCCTGGCCACCACGGACGGACAGGTGGCCGCGCACGGAAGCAGCATCGCAGCGCTGCAGAGCTCGCTGACCACGGGTCTCTCCAACAAGCAGACCAGTCGGCCTTCGACGTGCTGGAGGGCGTGGTGGCCACGAAGAGCACCCCGGACGGCGTGGACCTGAAGCTATGAACGGCTCCATCGCCTCGGCCAACAACGCCACGCTGGCCACAGTGGCCGCCAACTACGGTACTACCTAGACATAGCGGCGAGGATCACGCCGCTGGAGGTAGACACCAAGGTGGCCAACGCTCTCCTGGGGGCCGTCACCGCCGTCCGAGCTCGCACGCCTCCATCTTGGGGCTGCAGGCCTCCAAGGCGGACGCCAGCGCCCTGACAGCTTACGCCCTCTGCTCTCAGAGGTGGACTGTAAGACAGCGGCGGCCCTCCCGGCAGCCCCTTGCAGGCAAGGCGGACGCCAGCGCGCTGGCCTCCCTGCTCTCCATGGTGGACGGACTGGACACGCCGCTGGAGGTAGACACCAAGATAGCAAATGCCCTGCTGGGCCTCGCCGCCGAGGCCTTCGTCGCCGCGCAGCTTGCTAGCCGCGACGCCAGCATCACGGCGCTCCAGGAAGGCAAGGCCGACACGTCGCTGCTGGCCTCGTACGCCACGAACGCCGCGCTCTCAGCCAGCGAGACCACGCTCCAGAGCGCCCTCGACGCAATCCTCGCGGAGCTCGCCGCCCTGCAGCTTTCCGGCAGCGGCGGAGTTGTTAACGCGCCGGCCTGGGCGGGCTTCGCAACTTGGGAGCTCATTCGCGGAAGCAACGTCGTTCGCAACCTGCATCTGGAGGCTCCTCTCTCTGCTGCGCTGGCCAACGGCGACGACACTCTGAGCATCACCGCCGACTGCTACTCCATCGCAGCGGCGGACGCGGCCCTCGCGGCTGCGCGCGTCCGCGCTGCTGGCCTACTACACCTCGGCGCAGGTAGACGCCCTGTTGGGAGACTACCGCACAGGGGCAGCGCAGGACGCGGAGACGACCGGGACCATCACAGCCGCGCTGCTGGCCTACTACACCTCCTCACAAGTTGACGCGCTGTTGGGAGACTACCGCACGGCGAGCGCGCAGGACACGCAGACGCAGGCGGCCATCACGGGCGCGCTGCTGGCCTACCGGACGGGCCCGGACCAGGACGTGTTCACAACCAACCAAATCACCTCGGCGCTGGTGGCGTACCGCTCAGCCGCCGACCAGGACACGGCAACGGCCTCGAGCATCGCAGCCGCCCTGCTCAGCTACTACACCATCGCGCAGGTGGACGGCCTCCTAGCTGGCAAGCTCGGAGTCACGGAGGCGGCCTCGGCCCTGCAAATAGCAGTGCGGACGGAGGGGCCGACGAGGTGGTGGCCGCCATAGGAGAGCAGATCCTGGGCCCCACGGACGTCTCACTGTCAAACTGGACGGTTCGCCCCAGCAGCGGCTGCAGCGTGGTCCTAACCACGCACACCGCGGGCGCAATGAGCGTGGACGGCTACACTCTGACCCTGGCAGTGAACCCGTGGAACATTGTGCGCACCTACAACTTGACCCCGGGCCGAGAGCTCCTCTTCGCCTGCCGCTACCGGCTCGGCACGGCCTCCAACTTCGTGGTGTACATGTCCGAGGCAGACAACGTCTACGACCCCCTGTACGGCAGCTTCGTGGGCGACCAGGGTGCCTGGAGCACGGCAAGATGTACTTCAAAGCTGCACTTTGGGGCGCACTTCCAGGCGCCGGGCCTGCCCAACCAGACGGCAGGAACGGTGGACGTCTACGGCCAGGCCGGCAACACAGTGGAGGAGGACACGGCGGCCTCGGCCCTGCTGCTGAAGCACAAGTTCCTTGACGGAGGGGCCGACAACGTCACGCTGGCCACCCTGGGCGAGGTGCTGCTGGAGCCCACGCTCACCACGCTGGGTAATTTCCTGGTGCGCTCCAACAGCCAGAGCTCCGTGGCCTACGCCAGGACCCTGAGCGCTTTCGCCTGGAACATTGCGCGCACCTACACCCTGACGCCGGGGAGACGCTACTCCTTCGGCTGCCGGTACCGGCTGGGCACGGCCTCCAACTTGGTGATGTACGTCAGCGCGGCCGACAACGACTACGTGGGCGTCACCGGCACCTTCCTCGGCACGCCCTCGCAGGGTGTCTGGAGCACGGCGCGCCTGGACTTCTCGGTGCCGCCGGGCGGAGTCGCAAAGCTGCACTTCGACGCCTTCGGCGGCTCGATCCCCGGGCTGGTGCAGCAGTCGGCGGGCACGCCTGTACAGCATGCAGATCAGGGCCACTGGCTTCGAGGGAGAGTCGGTCTCCGTGACGGACCTGCTGGCCGACTCGCTGGCCCTCACGGGGACGGGCTCACCGCGCAGGGCAACGTGGGCTGCGACCAGCTGCTGTGCAACGACGTGAACTGCACCGACGTGTTCACGACGGGCGTGGACGCCTCGGGCGCAGTCTCC